TACAAAAATGAAGACTAAAACAATCCCTGTCCTAAAAGCCCTTATACTTACTAGAGGAGTACAACATGAAAACAAATAAGAAAATATAAAACAGTTTGGCAGAGGGGTCACTAACAAATGGGGAATTTAGACAAGGGCTCATATGGCTCTTTAACTGAACCTTGAAAAGTATGAGTGATTCCCACTCTTTGCAGGTGACATGATGATATACTTAGAGAATCCTAGAGAATCAAGTAAAAAACTACTTGAAATAATAAACAACTTTAGCAAAGTTGCAGGCTATAAAATAAACCCACATAAATCATCAGCATTTCTATATATTACTAACAAAGCCCAACAGCAAGAGATAGAAAGAGAAATCCCATTTAAACTTACTGTAGACATTATAAAATATTTAGGAGTCTACCTCCCGAAACAAACCCAGGAACTCTATGAACACAATTACAAAACACTTTTCACACAAATAAAATCAGATCTAAATAATTGGAAAAACATCAGTTGCTCATGGGTAGGCCGAGCTAATATAATAAAAATGACAATCCTACCTAAGCTAATTTACTTATTCAGTGCCATACCAATCAAGCTACCAAAAAATTATTTTATAGAGTTAGAAAAAATAATAAGATTCATTTGGAAAAACAAAACGTCCAGAATATCAAAGGAACTAATGAAAAGAAATGCAGGGGAAGGTGGCCTAGCAATTCCAGATCTTAAATTGTATTATAAAGCAGCAATCATCAAAACTGCTTGGTACTGGCTAAGAAATAGGGAGGTGGATCAGTGGAATAGGTTAAATATGCAAGACACAGTAGTCAATGACTATAGTAATCTATTATTTGATAAACCCAAAGACCCCAGCTTCTGGGATAAGAACCCACTCTTTGAAAAAAACTGCTGGGAAAACTGGAAAAGAGTATGGCAGAAACTAGGCATAGACTCAAATCTCATACCATATACCAAAATAAAGTCCAAATGGGTTCATGAGTTAGATATAAAGGCTGATACCATAAGTAAACTGGGAGAACAAGGAATATTTACCTATCAGATCTATGGAGAACAGAAGAATTCATGACCAAACAGGAGATAGAGAACATTATGAAAAGCAAAATGGATCATTTTGATTACATTAAATTGAAAAGTTTTGCACAAACAAAGCCAATGCAACTAAGATTAGAAGGAAGGTAGAAAATTGGGAAAGAATTTTTACAACCAGTCTTTCTGATAAAGGCCTCATTTCTAAAATATATAGAAAATTAAGACAAATTTATAAGAACACAAGCCATTCCCCAATTGATAAATGGTCAAAGGATATGAACAGACAGTTCTCAGATGAAGAAATTAAAGCCATCTATAGTCATATGAAAAAATGCTCTAAATCATTATTGATTAGAGAAATGCAAATCAAAACAACTCTGAGGTACCACATCACACCTATCAGATTGGCCAACATGACAAAACAGGAAAATGATAAATGTTGGAGAGGATGTGGGAAAATTGGAACGCTAATACATTGTTGGTGGAGTTGTGAAATGATCCAACCATTTTGGAGAACAATTTGGAACTATGCCCAAAGGGCTACAAAAATGTGCATACCCTTTGATCCAGCAATAGCACTTCTAGGGCTATATCCCAAAGAGATCAAACAAATGGGAAAAGGACCCACATGTACAAAAATATACATAGCAGCTCTTTTTGTGGTGACAAAGAATTGGAAATTGAGAGGATGCCCATCAATTGGGGAATGGCTGAGCAAGTTGTGGTACATGAATGTAATGGAATACTATTGTGCTATAAGAAATGATGAACAGGCTGACTTCAGAAAAACCTGGAAAGACTTGTATGGTCTGATGCTGAGTGAAATGAGCAGAATCAAGAGGACTTTGTACACAATAGCAGCCACGTTATGCAATGACTAACAATGTTAAACTGAACCTTTCTCAGCATTACATGGATCTAAGACATCTCCAGAGGCCTTGGGATGGAAAAGGCTGTCCACATTCAAAGAAAGAACTATGGAAGTCAAATCGCTCTCACTTATTTTTACCTTCTGTTGAGTTTTGTTTCATCTTTCTGATGGTTTCCCAACTTGGGGAGCTTCTAATCTTTTCTCCTAATAAGAAATAAGATGACCTAATCTTGTATCCTGGTTTATATCTGTTGATTGTTTTAATTTAATGCATAAAAATCTGGATCCCCTTGTATTCAGGTCCAGTAACAAGCTGAGGAAGCTTGGTCTCAATGCTATATGCTAAGCTATGGGGTCTTAGGTGTCTACTCTGTGCCAGGTGTTATGTTAGATGCTGAGGCTACAAAGATGGAAAACAACACATTCCCTGCCCCTCCGGGTGCTAACAGTCTACTATGGGGAATATGACACATACAGAAATAAGTAAATGCAACATACAAATATGATAGGAATGGAAGAGAAATACTAAGTACTATGGGAGCCTCAGAGAAAGCTTCATGGAGAAGTTGGCTCCTGAAGGAAGAGAATAATAAGAGCTGATATATGATTTTCAAAGTATTTTACATACGTTAGTTTTATGTTAAGCATTTCAATGGGTTGGGGTATGGACAGAATGTGTTCTAGCCACGAGGGATGCTCTTCACAAATGATAGAGACAGAGTGGTACAGGATGAGATCAGGGAAAAGGCAAGAGTCTAGTCTGGTTAGAACACAGAGTACAAAAAAAAGGGGGGAAAGTAAGAAAAGAGCTGCAGATGAAGAATGAGCTGCACCCAGAATTGAGGAGGAGGAGGAAATCAGGCTGAATTATATTTGAGAAATTTCTTGATGTTTTCAATGATTCTCAAATGCTTTCTGTGTCAAAAGCCCATTTTTTCCACAATAACAAATAGTCTTTCAATAATATTATGTGGCTGAGAATTAGGGAATGTCACAGTCTTAGAAGAATTAAAATTACAAATAACTCAAAGAATAATGGCAGGACTGAAAGTGTACATAATCAAGTTGCAGCATATTAACAATGACTTGCTACAATTGGTATAAAAGGCATCTAAGGTCAGCATAATAGGAGGTAGCATTTAAATAAAACTTTGAGGGTTGAAAAGCACTTGATATATATTATCTCATTTTGTCCTCACAATAATCCTGGGAGATAGGTACCATTCTAATCCTCATTTCACAGATGAGAAAATTGAGGCTGCTGCTTTTTGTCCTTTGTTCTGGAAGAGGACCATAACATCAGAGAGGTGATGCCATGACATACAAGTGAATTGGACTTAAGTGAGGGAGGGCAGTGCAAAGTCACCAGCCTCACTTTCTCTTCCAGAGCCATCTGGGTCCAGCGGCCTGATATAGATCCAGACATCTAGAGATGGCCCAGGATGCAGTGGGGTACCACAGCCTTTTCAAGCTAAGGTCTTTAACATGTCTCAGTTTGACTGAGGCAATGCCCATTCAATGATTAAGGCTTAATAAAAAATGAGGGATAGAATGGCCTCTTAAAAAAATAGATCTCGGGAATGGAAGACCCTCAGGGTTTCTGGCCAAAACAGAAACAATTGTTATTTATATTCATTCTGAGCCAATCAGGGCCCAAACAGTGACCAAGCAGGACTTGGTCTGGGACCAGAGTGATTTGGGGTTAAGGCTGGTCTTTAAGAGAAAAAAAAACATAAAGAAAAGTTTCAGAGATTAAAATTTATGTTCCCTTTGGGCAGAGCATCGGCAGGTAAGGGTGTGGCACCCTATGTGGAGAGAGAACAAAGAGAAGGAAGAGAGAGAAGAAACAGAAGAGAGAAAGAGAGAGAGAAGAGAAAGGAAGGAAGGAAGAAGGAAGGAAGGAAGGAAGGAAGGAAGGAAGGAAGGAAGGAAGGAAGGAAGGAAGGAAGGAAGAAAGAAAGAAAGAAAGAAAGAAAGAAAGAAAGAAAGAAAGAAAGAAAGAAAGAAAGAAAGAAAGAAAGAAAGAAAGAAAGAAAGAAAGAAAGAAAGAAAGAAAGAAAGAAAGAGGAAGAAAGAAAGAAAGTTGTGTTGCCCAACTGGAAGTTCTCTACTCACAGAGATTGCTGTTTGTCCAAATGAGAAAACTAAGGCAGAAGGCTGTTAAGTGACTTGCCTTGGGCCACAGAGCTATTATATGACTTTAAGTAGGCCTAGAGTCAAAAGATCTAAATTAAAATCCTGCCCTGGATGCTTACTAGCTGTGTCAGTCTGGGCAAGTCACTTAACCTCTCTGTGCCTCAGTTTCTACATTTGTAAAATGGGGATAATGTTACTTCCTGTCTCACAGTATCATTGTAAGGATCAAATGAGTCAAAGTGCTTTGCAAACCTTAAAATGTTATATAAATGCTAGTGATCATGATAATGATGATAACAACTAGGAAAAAACGGGCCAGTAATATAACAAGCATGAAATAACAAATGGCCTAAAAGAGCGGAAAAAAAAGTCTTGGAAGTAGTACCCAAACTGATGAAATCAAGGATCCATCAAAGTCTCTGTGTATCCTGTGTTTTCAACTATATCGAGAGCCCTGTGAGGATAAGCACTAACTCACCTTTGTCACCTACATGCAGCCCACTGCCCAGCCACAACAGGCACAAATAAATCTTTATTGATGATTTGATGAGAGCCATACCTTTATGCATATTATATACCTTACAAAGGGCCTGGGATTACTCTTAAAAATTAATGCTTTGTAAATATACAGCTCATGAAGGTGTTAGAATTTCAGAGTAATTCATATTTGTCCCAGGTTCTCCTCTCCTTTTAATGTGGTGCACTACATAATTATGTGTGCATATACATATTTGCAGACACATACACTGCCACAACTATACACAACTGTGAATGATATATGAGCGTATTAAAGCTGATTACACTAATCAAGGCAAATATTGTGGTGTGTTCCTAGGCATCTGTGTTTGCGTATGCTGTTCTTTGAAACTATATTTAGGTGTCCTGGCTATTAAAAGCTTTCAGTGCTGAGTGACCTCAGGGTGAATTTATATCTTATATTAATGCTGTTGCTCACTATTCCTGGCGAGGAAGACTGGATTCAAATCTATATTAGTGTCTTAATATCTATCATCTTTTTTTCCCATGAAGATGACCAGTGAGACCACATCCCTGCAACCCCTGAAACAAGCAATGAAAAGGTCACTAAGAACTAGTGGGGTAGGGTTGGGGTGGGTGTGTTGTGGGGAGGAAGAAGCATGGCTCAGCTTTTCTGGGAAGGTAGAGAGTGAAGGTAGAAAGGTACAGTCAGTGAAACTGTGCTGGGAGCTTTGGGTCTGCTAATTAGATTCCTGTTCTTGTTAAGGTGGCATGCAGACTAGAAGGTGTAAATCTTCTAGGGTCATAAGAGAAAAAAAAATCTACTTACGCTATCATCAAAGAGTGTGTGTGTGTGTGTGTGTGTGTGTGTGTGTATTCCAGTTCTTTATGAAGGGCAAGACATAATCATGAATAACTCATTCTGTGCTGCACCTGTTTTCCCCGCCCCTTCTTTTGTTACTCTCTTGTCAAATGTAATGCACACAATTTATTTAACTTAGCATTTCGTATACACATCTTTTTGTATTTCAATTTATTTGTTTTTCTTGATGACTGCCATAATAAAAAAATAAATTAATTCCTAATATCTTAATAATTTTTCCAAGAAGCCATAGTTTAGAGAAGACATCTCTAGCTCCACTGGAAATTCTTTCTATCCTGATTCCCATCCTATTCTCTCCTATTTTCTGAGAAACTCTTCTCAACTCATACTATTGGCTTGACGGGGAGTAGATCCTTATAAGCAGCCATCTAGCAGGGGCTCTCTAGCCTGCCTCAGTGGCTACTGCTAAGCTTTCCAACTTGGCTAAGGTCTACAGAGCTCATCCTAATAGCTACATCTTTAGGTTTTTTAACTTTTTTTTTTATGAGGCAATCGGGGTTAAGTGACTTGCTCAGGGTCACACAGCTAGTAATATCATGTGTATGAGGTTGGATTTGAACTCAGGTCCTCCTGACTCCAAGGCTGAGCTCTATCCACTGCACCACCTAGCTGCCCCCATCTTTGGCTTTTAAAAAAAGTTCTTTTTACTTATTTCATCAAATATATTTCCCAAGTACATGTGAAAATTTTTTTAACAATCTTTTTTTTTAATTCCAAGTTCCAAACTCTCTTTCCCTCTCACCTCATCCCCATCCTGAGAAAGGAAACAATTTGATATCAATTACACAAATGAAGTCATACAAAACATTTCCACGTTGCAAAAGAAAACACGAACAAAATAATAAAAATAAAGAGAGTAAAAAAGTATGCTTCAATCTGCACTCAGAGTTCATGAGTTCTTTCTCTGAAAGTGGATAGTATTTTTCTTTCTCTTTTCTTTTTTTTTTTGGTGAGGCAATGGGGTTAAATGACTTGCCCAGGGTTACACAGCTAGTAAGTGTCAAGTATCTGAGGTCAGATTTGAACTCTGGTCCTCCTGACTCCAGGGCTGGTGCTCTATCCACTGTGCCACCTAGCTGCCCCAATAGTACTTTTCATCATGAGTCCTTTGGAATTGTCTTGGGTCATTGTCTTGATCAAGGTAGATAAATGTTTTTTTTTCACAATTGATTGTCATATAACATTGCTGTTACTGTGTACAATGTTCTCCTGGATCTGCTCACTTCACTTACTGCAACTGCTTTTTTTTTTTTTGGCTTTTTTGTGAGATGATCGGGGTTAAGTGACTTGCCCAGGGTCACACAGCTAGTAAGTGTCAAGTGTCTAAGGCCAGATTTGAAATCAGGTCCTCCTGTCTCTAAGACTGGAGCTCTATCCACTACGCCACCTAGCTGCCCCTTGCAACTGCTTCTTAAGATTTAATGACAGCTGTAACTCTGGTGCAACTAGGTGGTGCAGTGGATGGAGCTCTGGGCGTAGAGTTAGGAAGACTCATCTTCCTGAGTTCAAATCTAGCCTCAGACACTAGCTGTGTGATCTTGGGTAAGTCACTTAACCCTGTTTGCCTCAGTTTCCTCAACTGTAAAACGAGCTGGAGAAGGAAATGGCAAACTACTCTAGTATCTTTGCCAAGAAAACTCCGAATGGGTTTAACGAAGAGTCAGACATGACTGGAAAACAACTGAACAACAAAACTGAAACTCTGGTACAGCTGATCTCTCTGCTGACAAAGAAAGGTTGATGGAACAAAAATCTACATTATTTCACAGATAATAATAAGAACACCAGAGTCTTTAAGGCAGAGACAGTTAGGTAGCACAATGTATAGAATCCTGGATTTGTAATCAGGAAGACTTGAGTTCCAATTCAGTCTCAGACAGTTACTGTGTGACCCTAGGCAAGTCACTTATATACTCTGCCTCAGTTTCCTCCTCTTAAAATGGAGATGATAGCACCTCCCAAGGATGTTGTGAGGACAAAATGAGTTCATGTTTGTAAAGTGCTTTGTAAACCTTAAAGTCCTATACAAATGCTAAGCAGTTTTCCTTTAATTCTAGCAGTTTCTTGTTTGTCCTTAATGTTTTGACTATGGTACTATTAAGGTTTAAATTTATGTCAGGAAAGCGCATGGTGTGTTCAGAAGAGTGCTGTATTTGGAGCCTAAGAATCTGGTCGGAATCTCAGCTCTGCCACATTATCTGGGTGAGCCTGGGAAAGTCGCTTTACTGCCTTAGGCCTCAGTTTTCTCATGTGAAAAGGGAGTGGGCTGGACTATACAAATTCTAAGATACCAACCAGCTCTGGACCCATGACAGCACCCATGTCTTTCATTCATTGATTAATGAGTAGTTGTTGTTTGCGCATCCTGCCAAAGGTAGGAAACAGGTGAGAAGAGGTGAGGATGCAAATATAAATAAGACACGGTCAATAAATACCCTTGACAGACTTAAAATCTACTAGAGGTGACTAGAAATACACATTGATAAATTGAATAAAAATTAGAATTTCACAAGAGTACAGATAAAGAAGGATCACCTCTAGCTGGAAGTATCAGAAAAGATTTTAGAAAGGAAATTATACATTACAGATTTCATTCCATCAAATTTATCGAACGAGTACTGTGTGCGAGACACTGTGATGGGTGCTTAGGGTGATAGAAGGGATTTATGACCTCATTATGGGAATAAGACATAAACTTGTGGGAGGAAAATGACTAATACACAAACTGGCAAAAGAAAAGTACCAATGAGTGATATAGACAATACCTGTTCCAGCAGTTTAGAGGAAAAGAGATCACTTCCAAATGGAGTGTTTGGGGAGGCTCAATAGTGAAAGGAGGATTTGAGTTGGAACTTGACAAATGGATAAGTTTTGTCTAGATTTAGAGGAGGGGAAATGAGCCCAACAGGGAAAGTTTGGCTAAGGGAGTAGCAGGAGCCATGAAGAAATACAAAAACAGCTAGCCAGTGAAGAGGAGAGAAATTCATTTGATTGGAGTCAGTCAGTCAGTCAACAAACATTTATTAAGAACTTCCTATGTTCCAGGAACTGTGCTAAACTCTGAGGATACAAAGACAGGAAAGAAACTATCCCTGCCTCTGAAGTTTAATGGAGCATTGTGTTCATTTGCACAAGGAACTTACAAACCAACTTAGATTTTAGAAAGACATACATGCACAAAAGGTGGAAATTGGGAGCAGGTAACAAAATGATGACAAAGCATGGCATGTGCCTGTATGAATAACATAGGCATGCTTAGCTTAGAATGAATTAAGACAGGCAAAGAAAGCTAAGGACAACAAAAATGGTGGTGGGGTTTTGTTTGCTTGTTTTTTTGTTTGTTTTTTTAAGCAGAATTGGGGAAAAGAAGAAACTCAGTAAAGGGATAGAACCACTGCTTGGGGTGGGAAGGACAGTGAGAATCGACAATAGAGAGAAAGTCTGACTTCAATTCCTAGGAAAATTCAGGGAAAAATCATTAAAGCAAGAGTAGACAAATATTTAGAAAGGGAAGCATTAAATACAAAGTGCCAGTCATGGCTTCATCAGAAACAAATTATATCAGATTAATATAATTTTTTTTTGGACACTGTATTCTGCCCTTGTGAGACCTCACCTGGAGTCTTGTCTTCAATTCTGGGCATCACAGCATTACTAAATTAGTAGATGAGGGAAATGCTATAAATATGTTATACTTAAATCTTAGCAAAGCTTTCCATAAAGTATCTCATGCTATTCTGGTACAAAAGTTGGCAAAAAATGGATTAGATGAGAATACAATGAGATGAATTCAGAACTGGTTAGATGACCAGACTTAAAAGAGTAGTTACTAATGGTTCAATGTCAATGTGATAAGAGGTCTAGGGAGTTACCCAGGGAGCTGCTCTTTAAATCACAGCTGGCATGCTTATCAAATTGGCAGATGACACAAAGCTGGGAGGGCTAACTGATAGACTGGATGACAGGATCCAAAAGGATAATTCTGATGATCTTCTAGACCACTGAGCAGAATTTAGTAAGAGGAAATTCAGTAACGATAAATGTAAAGTCTTGCATTTGGGTACAAAAAAATCAACTCCATAAATGTGACAGGGGAAATATGGCTGGATAACAGTTGTTCTTAAAAGAATTTGGAGATTTTGGTGAACTGCAAGCTCAGTGAGTCAGCTGTGTGATACAGCAGCTAACATAATGTTGGTCTGCATTGGGAGGGGCAAAGCTTCCAGTGATAGGGAGGGGATAATCCCCCCTTGTCAGACTTTGCAGTCTTATGTTCAGTTCTGGGCACCACAAATTAAGAACAACCTCAATACACTGAAGAACATACAAAGGAAGGCAACCAGCGTAGTAAAGAATCTTGAATTCATGACATGAAAATCAGCTGAAAAGACTGGGCATGTTTAACTAGGAGAGAAAAAAAAATACTCAGGGGAGACATCTTAGCTGTCTTCAGGTAGTTGAAAGTCTGTCTTGTGACAAAGCAATTGGTCTTGTTCTGTGGTGGCCCCAAAATGGCCCCAAAATTTAGGCTAGATATAAGAATATCCTTCCTAATAATTAGAACTATCCAAAAGTGGAATGGCTTGTGATGAAAGGTAGTGGATCTCTCTTCCTTTGAAGTCATTAAGCAGAGGATGGACAACCACTGAAGGTGTGTAATATTAGGAATCCCTTTTGTATAAATTGCCTCTGTGGTTCCTTCTAACTCTCAAATCCTTTGATTCTGAATCACATGAGCTCAAGAAGTTGCAACTCTGGGAAATTTTGAAGTGATCATCATAGAGGAGGTATTTGATGCTACGGAAATGGACACAATTTCAGAGAAAGAAGTAGTATAAAGAAAGAAATAGAAAGGACTGGACACTAACTTAGGAGAACATGCACATTTAGAAGGAAGGAAGAGGACTCAGTAAATGAGAGAGAGATGAGGGAGACAAAAAGATAAGACAGCCAGGAGAGCATAATATCATGGAAGCTAATAGGAAAGAGACTTTCAATAGTGACTTTTAAAAATACAGATTATTAAAGATAGCGCAATAATTGGTAAAGATAAGAAAAGAAGTAGAATTCTTATTGGACAGAGAAATTTGGCATTAAAAGGAATTAGAGAAAATAGGGGTATAAATAGATGAACCATCAGCATTAAGTGAAGGTTTTTTCAAGATAGGGAAGACCTATTTGTATTTGAAGATTTCTGGGTAAGTTATTCTTGGTTGTAAGTCTTTATTTTTTGCCTTTTGAAATTCTGTATTCCAAGCTCTCTTTTATTTTAAAGATGTAGCTAGCAGGTCTTCTGTGACCCTGTCTGTGGGCCCTTGGTATTGAACTCTTTCATTCTGACTACTTGAATATTTTTTTCTTTGACCTGGAAGCTCTGAATTTGGGCTGCGACATTCCTTGACATTTTCATTTTGAGGTTTCTTTCAGGAGATGCCCAGTGGCTTCTGTCTATTTTCACTTTACCCTCTGGTTTTAATAAGTCGGCATTTTAATTCCTGATTTAAAAAAAAATTTACTATCTGTGCTTTTCATAGTCACGGCATTCAGGGAATCTGATGATTTTTAAATTATCTTTCCTTGACTTATTCTCCAGGTCATTTGTTTTTGATAGGAGGTACCTGACATTTTCTTCTATTTTTTCAGGCTTTCAGTTTTGTTGTAATATTTATGGAGCATTGATCTCTATTTCATCCAAATGAATTTTCAAGGAATCTGTTTACTTGAGTAAAGTTTTGCACCTTAATAAACTAATTTGTTTATTCTCCTTCCAATTCTTTCCTATAGAACTCTCATTTCATTTACATGATTATTTTTAAACTCTTACTTCATTTTTTTCAAGGAATTCTAATAGAACCCGTGACAAATCTGTGATTTTCTTTGAAGCTTTGCTTATCAATGACATGGAATTATTGTCTTCTGGATTTGTGTCTTGGGCACAACTGGTTTCTGCTTAAAATATAATCATCATCATTGTTTTCTTCTCTTTACTTGCTTTCCAGCTTTATTCCCTGAATTGTGTGAAAGCATATTTAATTCCAAACTCTATTTTAACATGTTATAAACTTTTCCTGATTTAAGATTCCAATAATTATTATTTCAAATTATCTTAGGAGAGATGTCTGAGTATGGGAGAACTTTGCCAGGTTGGGCACATCTCTCTCTAAGCTAGAAATGCTCAGATTGAGAATTAAAAAAAAATTGTGTCTGGCAGACTTGTGCCTAAAATGCATATTATTAACACTTTTTTCTTTGACAATTGGGACTGTTTGTCAGAGCCAGGCTCTGTGCATTCCTGGGAGGAATAATGGGCTCCTAAGCTGGCTAGAGTCTGGGTAATGGGCACCATATTCTTTAAAGACCTCAGGAGCAGCTCTGGCCAGGATGCTATGCCAAGGTGGTCTTTGCAGTACAGTGTGTGCCAAGACGGTTTGATCCAAGACATACCCAATAACAGGCCAAGCCTGCAAGGTCCTGGGCCTTAGTTTGGGATCAGAGTGACACAGCTTGTCCTTGGCTAGACCCTTATCTGGACTGTTGTCTCTTTGCCCTTGTACAAAGCTGCAGGCTCTCCTATTTTGTCCCTAGTTTCCAAGTTGGTGTTCCTGTGAGCTAAACTCTTATGCCAGGCTTCTTCTGGCTAGGCCCTTTCCCCATTGTCAAAAAGCTTTTGACTATCTCCTTGTGTAGACATGGACTGGCAAAAATGTACTTATTGTAGTTTCAATTCGGATTTCATGATCATTAGTCTGGTCTGGTCTGGTTCTTTTTTCATTCTTGCTGGAATATTGTGAGAGAGCTGGGTTGTTCTGCTTCTGCTTATTCCACTACCCCGAAGAGCTGTTTTTGAAGATTTCTAATAATTGCTGATGAAATTTAAAATAAGTCATTGTTGAAGCAATTAAGTTCTATTTCAATGTAGGAGTGCAAGCAACTTTGCCCACTGATCTAAAGTAAAGCTTAATTTTTTTTTCTTTCCTTCTTTCCTTTCTTTCTTTTTACTGGGTTTCCCTACCTAGCCCAGGCTGGAAGTTCATGACTGACCCCAGTACTGATTGTCACAGGGCCTTTATTTGACCTGCTCCATTTCTTACTAGGGCTGGTTTCTTCCTCCTTAAGGAGGCAACTTGGACTACTTCCCCCATTCCTTACTATATTTATGTCTAACCAGGTAGGCATAACCTACTGCAGCTAGGAATTTAGGAGCTCAAGAGATCACCCAGCTTCAGCCTCCCTGGTAGTTGGGAAGATAGGTGTGCACTACCACACTTGACAAAAACTTGCTTTTTTCATTTTTTAGGGTAGAGAAAAAACTTCAGACTTTGGAAACACAGTTTGAAGAATTGGACTCTGCCATGGAAAATCTGACTCAAAAGTTTGAATTTCACAGAAAGACTCTGGAAAGCCAGGCAGTCCAAGATGAGATGTGGACAGCAGTTCTGGAGATCAAGTAAGATCAAGCAAAAGAGGAAAAAAGCATATCTTTGTGGCTTAGGAGGTGGATTTTAAAAAAAATTTTAACGGTCATTAATTCTGAATTTCCCAATGCTTTTGCAATGATGGAACATGAAAGAATCATATTTTCCTAGATGCAATGAGGGCTAAGTAACAATTCATTACAATATAGGTGATTCTTAAGTACGTTTTCCAGAAAAAAACAAACAAAACAAAACATGTGATTAACTTGTCAGGTTTGTCATTTTAAATTGACCTATCTTAATGGAAATTAATCTCACATATTTACAGAAAATAGTGCTCTTTCTCAAAGACTTTTTCCAACTTTTTTACAGGTTCACTTCTTTGGAGTTAAATATATTCTACAGCTACATCATTGAAACACTTCATTACCTACACTCTCAGGTACTGGAGAAACTTCCAGACCTGGAAAGAAGGCTTCCCACTTTAGCAACTGTTCTTAAGCGAAAAAACAATAACAAACGTATTAGAGTTGTATGGGACACAGTTTTAGAGGCATTAGGACTTCAGGAAGAAGATGTCAAAGCCTTCTGTACTTTCTTTATTGCACATAGCAGCAAAGCAGAATACTATTCAGCTAATCTGAGGCAGATGTACATCCATGATGCCACCCCCATGATAACCAATATTGTGAAGAACCAGATTTTGCAGAATAGTTTGCTGCATGCAGTTCAGATAATAGAGAATAAGAAAACTGCTAAAGCATAAAAAAGAACAAAAAGAAATCTCGAAAATGGTGGCATTCCCCATCTAAAACTAATTCATGTTTGTGATGAAAAGTTGTAATTATTTATGTTCATATGTGCAATTCCCTAAATCTCTGGATTTGTTTGCATTGCAAAAGGGGCTCTTCATTCAGTCATCATTTAGTATTTATTGAGTGTCTACAATATCAATAGCATCATGCTAGGTGCTATGGGAAATACAAAGAAGTATACAGAACACATAGTCTTTGCCTTCAAAGCTTATAGTATAGTTAAGGATACAGATATGAATACATAAAGAATTAAATAATCAAGTAACTGTTGGCTCTTGAAATCTATATTTCAGTTAAATCCTGTTTCTATCACCTTTTGTAGAGAGTTAGAGTCACAGGATAACATAGAAATGAAGACTTCCAAAAATGCTTCCATGAATTTTTTTGGGGGGGCAATTGGGGTTAAGTGATTTGCCCAGGGTCACACAGCTAGTAAGTGTTATGTGTCTGAGGCCGGATTTGAACTTAGGACCTCCTGACTTCAGGGCTGGTGCTCTATCCACTGTACTACCCAGCTGCCCCTTCCATGAAATTTTACTATCCCATGTGACTTAGTTTAGTCTACAGGTCATCTCTTATGCCCTAGTTCCCTGTGATGAACACAAACACCATGCCATCCAGCCCCTCTGGCCCCCTTCCAAATATCCTTGCTCACATACCCTTCATTTACTACAGTGCCCACTTTTTTTCATAGTCCCCACCTCCTTCCATTCCAACTTTCCTTTATTACCCAGTAACTATAATTCTTTATCATCTTTTTCTCCTTTCTTTCGCTTATTCCACCCTAGTCCCCAAATAGCCAGTTATCAGTCTTTAGAATATTGATACTATTACCAAGCCAGGGCTGGAGAGAGAATAAGAGAATAGCCCTCCCAGTGTCCAATAAACTACCAAGTACATTATCAGACTCTGTATCCTTAGACTTCAGCTATTTCTTGTCCAGTCCTACCTTGCTCTCCAATTTAACCCTATGACCATAATAACATAACAACAAAAAGATGTCATAGGTAGCAAATACATGTGGTTAAATGCCAAAATGACATAGCACAGGGCTAGAGGAATTTGAGGGAGGAAAGAGAAATAGATCAACATGAGCTAAAGTAGTCAGGGAAGATTTCAACAGAAAAGCCTTGAAGGATGGGGTAGGATCTGGATTAGTAGGGGAAGGGGAAAGATTTTTCTGGAGGACAGAAACAGCTAAAAGATAAAAATACACATTGCGTGTTCAAGTACAGAGTACAGAGCAGTCTGAGAATATCAAAGAAAAGGTAGATTAAATGGAAGGTGCTGAATGTCAGGCAAAGGAGTTAGGACCATCTTCCATAGGTAATAGAACTCCCTGAAAGTTTTTAAATATAGGTGGTTAGTATGCTCATGCCTAAATTGAAAGACAGAATAAGAGAATTTTCCACAGAAATACAGTGATTGTCTTTTCTAAATCTTTGTCTAGTCTTTATAATATCATGGAAATATATTGAGCCCTTTCCCCTTCACTGTTTCAAAAATATTAAGAAATAATATTTCAGTCTTAAATCCTTTTGGAGTCACTGAAATGAAATAAGTCTTGCTTGTACTTGATCAAAGAGAAACTAATGGATTACTATGAAACCCTTAACTTCTATTTTACTAAAGACATAATAGTGTCTTGTAATAGAAGACAATCAAGTTCAAGTACTAATCTGTCTGAAACCAAAGAAATGTTTCAGCTTGTATATGGTGACCAAACTAAGTGTGAAAACACCTTTGTTCGAGAGTCAGAGTCAAGATGGTAGAGTTAGAGGAAGCACTTTTGACTAGCTCACCCAGTACACCTCATCTATAACAACCTAAAAACATGCTAGACTGAATTCTGATCAGAAAAGTCAAGAAAAAGTAGCAATGAGTCACTTTTCCAGCCCAGGTCAGCTCAGGGAGACAAGCAGAGAGGTCTCACAACCCAGCTTGGGATAGGGGCTGGCCAGGAGCGTATGCTGCAGCAAGGAGCATTTCACTATTCAGAGATGGAAAGAAGGCACCAGGACAGGAAGCACTAGGATAGAAAAAGATGCCAGGAAATCGCTGAATTAGTGCTAGGTGCAGGAGTAAGGGTCATCTGGCAGCTCTGTTGACCATTACTCAGTTCCAGGTCACAGATCCAGAGCAGAGAAGAGTGATTGTGAACTAGTCAAGCACAGGGCATAGAGGAGTACTAAGCACAGAACAAGTTCAGAAAGAACAAATCACTGAGACAATAATTACGTAAAAGGTAATGACAGCAATGAGACAAAGTACCAAAATATGTGCGATGCAGTCAAAGTAGCATTTAATGGAAAATATATATCTCTAAGCATTTACATCAATTAAAAAAGGACACATCAATGAGCTGGGTGTGCAACTTAAAAAGCTAGAAAGCCAACAAACTAAAAAACCCAATTAAACACCAGAATAGACATCTTGGATAGATTAACAAAGAGGGAAGTCAAAACAAAACAAAACAACCATTGAACTAATAAATAAAACTAGAAGCTGGCTTTCTGGAAAAGTAAAATAAAATAGAAAAATTATTTTCTAATTTGATTTTTAACAAACAAAATTATCATTATCAAAAATGTAAAAGAATTCATAGCCAATGAAGAAGAAATAAAAACAATTATCAGGAGCTATTTTGCCCAGCTATATGATAATCTAAATGAAATGCATGAATTTTTACCAAGAAATATAAATTGCCCAGATTAACAGAATAGAAAATACTTAAATAACCCAATCTTAGAGAAAGAAATTGAACCATGAGTAGATTCCTAAAGGGAAAAAAAATAAGAGGACAAGATGAAATTAAAAAATAATTCTATCAAACATTTAAAGAAAAATTAATTCCAATACTACATAAACTACTTAAAAAAATAGACAAAGGACGCCTAACAAATTCTTTCTATGACAAAATATGGTCTTGATATCAAACCCTGAGACAGCAGAAATAAAAAAAATTATACATGAATTTCCCTAATGAATATTGATGCAAAAATTTTAAATAAAATATTAGTAAGGAGATTACAACAATATATCACATAGGTTATATACTTTTGTTGTTTTTCTTTTGTTCTCAAAGAGAGCCAGGACATCAGGGAAGTAATGCCATGACATGCAAGTGAATTGGATTTAAGTGAGGAAGAGCTGTGCAAGGTCACCAGCCTCACTTTCTCCCCTGGAGTCATCTGGGACTAGTGGCAAGATACAGATCAAGACAACTGGAAATGGCCCAGGATGCAGTGGGAGACACTGGCCTTTTAAAGCTAGATTCTTAACAGGTCTCAGTTTGACTGAGGCAACACCCAATCAGTAATTAAGACTAGGTAAGAAATGAGGCAGAGAATGGACTCTTTTACCTAGTCAAAAAAAAAAAAACAATCTGGAAGGGGAAGACCCTCAGGGTTTCAGGCCAAAACAGAATCAAGTGATATTTAAATTTACTCTGAGCCCAAACCATGACCAAGTGGGGCTTAGCCTAGCACCTATTGTTGGCCAATCAATGAAAACCTGAGTGATTTGGATTTAAGGTTTGGTCCTTAAGAAAGAAATATATCCTGTAAACTCCAAGATAACTTTCGAGGTTTCAGTGATCAAAATTTGCATTCCTTTGGGTAGAGCAACAGCAGGTTGCCCATCAAAGTCCAGTAGCAAGACAAAAGTCAAGATGACCAGCCCATTTGGTAGTTCACCTGCCTCTTAACCCATTCATTCGCCAAATTGTACCTTGTTAACCAAGCATTACAAATGAACATTTCAGAACAATCTGCATATTTATAATACTCTACTTGTATTAAGCAAGCCACAGGAGTCAGTGCACATATTGCTAACAGAATTAGCAGAATTAGTTTGGGTTTTTTTTGGGGGGGGCATAGCATTTTAAACGTACAAATCAAAATTGGGCACCTGAGCATGTTAATTGTTTTCCTGTAACTTGTGAAGTTTTCACTCTTAAATTCTAAGCCAGTGTCTATTTTTAGACCTGGTTTGTATACATATAGTTGTGTGGGACAGAGACTTAGATACCTTGAAAGCAGAAAGGAGTTCCTTGCTTTCTCATGAGAAAGAGTACCACCCCTCAAGTTGCCTAGTGCCACGGCCAGGAGAGTATGAACTGGTTACAGAAAGGAAGCCTTATTTATACCCTGACTCGAGCTCCTCCTCCCTAACCTCCTTCCCCTTATCCCATTGGAACAAAGGCAGTCACACAAGTTTACCCGGAGACAAGAAAAGTGGGAAGTTTTGCAAGGGCAAGCAGTTCAGGTTGCAGGTAGGGCTGTTCTTTCTGCTATGTGCTTAAAAACTGGGTCTGAGGTGGGGAGGGTTTTGAAAGCAACAGTCAAGAACTATTAACAAGAACTATTGACCTTTTGAGGAGGCTTCACTTCTGAGATCATCTCTCACAATTCCCCCTCTCATTTCTTACAATTTGAAGCCCCCTCACACCCACTAAATCTCAATAACCAAATATATCTCATTAGGTATTTAACAATTTCCCTCAAATTTTACAATCTAAGAGTTTTAGAAATACAATACAATTTAGAAGCAGTAATAACTTTTGTAACACAAGCAATGAACTTCAGATAACATCAGTTGCATTTCCACATTATCACATATAGAAATTAGCACTCTTATTACTTTTGGTACAGAAGGGCAACAATACAATAACTATTTAACAAGAACTATTGACCCTTTGGGGAGGCTTCACTTCTGAGACAACATCTCTCACATAGTGATTATGGATGCTAATTCATTGTAATTTATAATATTTATGTCAGCATAAAAATCCACCTGCCTTCTCCAACAGCAGAAGCAATGGACTACGTGTCGTCGAGTTGTCTCTCTGGTGAAGGAGTCACTTCTACATTAACTCTTGAACTTTTAGATGTAAATCAATTTTTCATTTCTGTAATAGAAAGTTCTTCACCTATTTTTACGTCATTTGTTTTTTCCTGACCAGTATTTAAAATCAAAAGCATACTCTGAATGATGGCCAACAGTTCTTTAGAAATAGCCTCCCAAGCAGCATGCCTAAACATTACATTATATACAGAAAAAAAAATCAAATGTTAAAAAAAAAAAGATGACCAGCCCAGGATGCGGTAGATGACCTTTGCATCTTCCATATCTGACCCTGCTCTCAGTGCTCCACTGGGGAAAGTCTTCACACAATCTTTGGCTAGACATCCCCCTAAGTCACCAAAAGGTTTAAGGCCTGTCTAATACTTCCTTAATAAATGCTCCATTGACTTGACTTGCAGGTGTTATAGAAGGAATTTGTGACCCTTTGGAAATTCTCTCAGACCCAAGCCTTTTCTACTTACAATTTAATAACAGTAACTAGCATTTATACAGCGCTTTGAGATCTGCCAAAAGCTTTATTTATGTTATCTCATTTGGTACTCACAACAACCTTCTAA